TCAAAATATGTGATTAACAAAGTAATTAGATACAAATTTACATATATAATGACTAAGCTATGAGCTCATTGTATGTGAGTGTGTTAATAGAGAGTTTAGAAATATTTTTTATAGTTAAGTATCTTGCGTGAGCTCGTCAAAATAGAGGATTATTTTTGCCTTATACAGCACTTATAAGTGAAAATTAAAGTACCTGAGGAATTGAACAAATAAGAGCTATCTTCACAAGAGCAAAATGGCACACAGCACAAAGACATAAAGAATTTACAAACAGTATACAAACCTAACCCACCTGATATTTGAAGAATGTAGGTAGGATCAGAGTCTAAACCAGAGTTTGTAAGATGGGTTTAAGAGAGAGCTATACTGAGCAATTGGAGCCACAGCGCATCCGTTTCTTTGCTAAAACACCCACAGTTTCCCCGTGTATATCCTGTACATTATCTAATACTATTCCCCCAACGTCAGACTCGTATGTGCCGCGCAGCAGCTCCAAGTACCTGGTCTTTGGATTCACAGTTATAATCACAGTTCACAAATCACAGTCATTTGGAATTTATCAAATTTTCACGAGTCTCCTCACATTAAAATATCGATATTTTAGTAATTTAGAGTAAATTTGTAGTTTATCATTAACAGCAACACAGTAGAAAGAAACTATAACATTCGGATTGTCTACATTCAAAGGAACTACTTCCTCTTCCGCCTTTCATAGTCATGTACAAAATACGGCTGTATAAAAGTCTAGAAGCCCCTTGGCGTACGCGCACACAACAATGGCTGAGCGTAACTGGAGTCATGCGCGGACTTTTTTTACCTCCACAAACAGCTGAGACATGGTTTGCAATACATGTGGCAAAAAAGTGCTCCAAGAGTGAGGTGTTGTGGACATAATAGGGAGACATTCAAAAGGCATTATTATTGGTCGTCCCGGAGACAGCGGGGGTGTCCAAATTCAGAGGCTGCTTCCACCTGAGGACCGGCCTTCGCGGTCTAAAGAAAGCCGGTTAGCAGGCACGTGCAGAGGGGGGGGCTAGAGGGGCTTGAGCTCCCGCCCCTTTCCTGATGGGTGCCCAAAGTGCCCTTTTGTTGAGGCAACTTTAAAAAAAATTTTTTTTTTTTAATGTGTGTGTGTGCGTGCGGAGTGCGTCTGTGCCCCTCAACAATAATATTTAACTATTAATCACAGTTTTGCTAAATAAAAGGATCTGGCTTGCATCAGTCACATGATCACATTTAACCAA